ATGTTTGAACACAAGCAGCAAAAAACAGATATTGTTTTGACCCGTATGCTTCAGGTCGAAAAACCGTGTAAGTTAACTGATTAAGTGATAAATCATTTTCTATCAACAGAAAGTAACAATGATTGAATCGATAGCTAGGTTTACGAAGAATATAACCCATGATCTAGTTTTTATTGTGTCCTTCCCCTTGTCTCAATTCTAAACCACAATGTCCAGTAAATGAGTTAAAAAATACATCCCCAGACTCGTGACATACATTCTCATATTACTTTTTGAAACATTCTGATTTGTAATGGAATTTGATACACATTTCTACATTGAAGAGGTAAGGGTTTCAATGTAAAAGTTGTGCTGTTTCTGGTTAGTGGTCCCAAAATGACAGATTTTAGACGGCAATTTTTATATGATCTGGGTTTCTTAAACATATATGTAAACTAGATCCGGAATGTTTGTATACTCACCCTTGCGCCCACACTTTAAAACTCAAGCAACTAAAATAAATATATATTTTTATCAATACTTTGAACATCAAAATGACAAATGTCTAAATGCACACCAACCTACCTCGCAAAGGCTACACAATACGCTACTTAGTAAATTATGTAGTATTTCGGACTGTCATCATTTTCAGAAGTCAACAAAGTACAAATATAATTAATCACCGATTTGGCACGAATATTATTATATCGATGCGTGTTGTACCTTTCACTCATTTATGTCATTGCCCTTCGCCCACACCGCGTCAATAAAATAGAAAACGTTCTATGTTCCGAAGAAACAGATCTTATACAACAAGTATTGCAATACGCATTATTCTAGGATGTTGTAATTTTTAATATGTTTGAAGAACACATGTAGAATGACAGTTTCCATAATGCTTTGGTAACATATATGTTGACTCGCTATTTTGGGCCATATTGCGTTGCCTGCCCCAGTAATTGTTTTGATCCCGTTTGTAGCAAGACATCTGGAATGTGTAATTGTAAGTTTTCAGTCACTTGACACTTAAGGAATGTGTTCAGCAAGTTATACGTGACCTCATAATGTTGTTTATTACTGTTTCCAAATGTGATGCAATAACATTATCAAGTGTTAATCTTTCAGATATTAATGTATGAAATACACCTGCATTTTATTCAATAAAGCTATGAAATGTTATATAAAAGGTATGTAATACACGCACATAATGAATCAAATATATATAGATGTGATGAGAAATTACTGGAAAATTACAAAAAAGAATCAAAACCGCTTTGTTTAGATTTGTGAAATCGTCAAAAAGTTAACATCAGTTTGGCTGTCATGACTGTAATTCATTCCAAAGCAATGATTTAAATTCTGCCTTAATATAAACAATTCCAACTCTTTCTTCTAAACATTGTATGAATATTGATAACGAAGCACTAACATTTTTTCGTTGCAGTGTGTACAGATGGCTACTATGGGATGCAATGTGACATGAACTGCTCTGATCACTGTATGAATAATACCTGTCAGCAGAACAGGGGACAATGCATTGGTATAGAGATAATTTACTATGTGTTGTTCAGAAGTTATGTTAAAGTTTTGCAATTTGAAGATAAGAATATTCAAATTGAATGGTTCAAATAGATGGGATAGAAATGGTCTTTTCCAAGATTTAAGGTAGAACAGACACATTCCTAAATAAGGAGGCTGCGTTTTCGATGTGTTTTAAGCCGGGATTTTGTCTAGAGTTGATAGTAGCTATCGTTCCTTTGATTGTAGACATTTCTGTCACCGGGATTGCTATTATAATGTAATTTGTAACTACACGATGTTAGAAATATATGATATAAAGTCTATGTTAGATCGCAGTTTATATATTCGAATAAAATGGCTTTATTATTTCTAACAAATTTTAAAAAGATTAATTTGTGTTAAAGCGAAATTTTAAAATCGTACCCGTATCAGTTATGGAGCAATTTAGTCACCGGTTTTTCATAATGCATTGTTGTATTTTCCTAAGTCGCGTCCTAAAAGAACGAAACAGCTGTATAATGCAGTTTACTTTATTGTTTGACTCAATCTTACCTCACTCAAAAATGAAAAGGTGCTATTCACTTGTGTGTCTTTTGTACACTTTTTAAAATCAACATGATATCATTCATATTCTATTTGTATTTTTAGGATGCAAATCGGGATTCCACGGCACAATGTGTAACCAACGATGTCCCGCAAATTGTAAGGATGACCGGTGCAACCAGTTTCTTGAGAATTGTGAAGGTAATGATCAATTTATTCCATATATCATCTATATAGCACCAATGTTAACACATTAATTCATAATCTTATCCCTTATAAGAAACATTGCCCAGAAGAAAAATATGAGTTGCTTATTTCCGGAAATTTCGAAGCATAGTTCAACACGATATTATTGTAAAATATATGAGAGTTGCTTTATCTATATGCTCTTTCAGTGTCAAGTCCTGAAATATAAAGACTAATTTCAATTTTATTTCCATAAGCATGCACTTCGGGATATTATGTTATTATGTAACCAGTAATTCTCTCAAAATTGAAAAAGGAAGCAAGGCGTGACCGAATAAGCGGTCAATGTCAAGGTACAACTTTTTAGCTCTAATTTTGTTCCGATCTTGATACTACTTAATGTGCATATGATACTGTAAGTTATGCGATCTGCTTATTACTTTAATGGTATACATGCTTTCTAATGTAAAATTAAAGAAAAAATGGAGGAAATAATAAACATTTATTTAAAAAGAGCTAAAAGCTAAAACAAGTAACAGCCTATTTCCTTACTATAGAGTGTGAAGCTGGCTATTACACCTTTGCATGCAACCAGTCTTGCCCTGGCAACTGTAAGGAATCACGCTGTGATCAAGCTAGCGGACACTGCCATGGTATGTTTTTTAATTCCCTTGACCATGTATCAAGGTTATTTATTGCAATACGATTGTAGTTTACAGAGTTAGGCCTTTACAGTATGATTACCAATGGACATAACTTGGTTAAACTTGGTATGTAGTCGTATATCAATAGATTCCTGGATGAGATCGACCATGCAACGGTTACAGAATAATTTTTTGCAGTTTGGATTTGATTGCGATTGGTCAGGTGACCGTTCAAGATCATGGGCCTCTTTCTGACAGAATAATGTGTATCATTCGACGCAATGTTAATCCTCATTTGCATTTGCACTTATAGCACATTTACTCGCTAGATAAAACTAATGAAGCATAAGACGGATACTCTTCTGGAATACTTGGCCTTGGAATTTTCAAATGTTCTCTTGTAAACCTTTATCTAGTTATTTTGATGCATTCACGTCCGTCCGATTTTGTCTTAATTTTTTAATCATTTTTTTTTCTAAATATCATTCCAAGATGAGGTAACACTTCTTTGCTTTGCATATCTTATTTACACATATTTATTCACCCATAAGTACAGAATTGTTGATCTTAATTATACCTCCTATGAGAAAAATGCAAATCAAAGTTTCTTAAATATAGAAAAAAGTTATCTGTTAAAATTTATACATTTATGATTGCAGCGTGTACTATTGGCAACTACGGAATCGAGTGTAAGAAGAGATGTGGTCAATGCAGAGGAGATGGAACGTGCAATATAAACGACGGCGCATGTGAATGTAGTGATGGCTGGGAAGGGGATACTTGTAACAAAAGTAAGTATTCACAAACAAAATGGAGATTCAGTGGTCGAATTCTAAGATAAACGTTAACATGTATTTGCAAATGAAATGACTTGTTCCACAATGATTGAAATGTTTTAATAGTCTTGATAAAGACGTCTGGACATAAATATATTATTATTTCAAACATACATTACAGAACAGGCACAGGTATCAGCCACAGAAGATCAGACGGCAGTGTATGCTGGGGTTAGTGTAGGAGTAGTTACCGGTCTTGCCGTCCTCGTTATTGTGTTGATCGTACTTCTGCGGAGGTTTGCTTTATTATTATTGATGTGAAACAGGGTATGCCTTATTGTGCACTGAACTAGTATATCCAATTATTAATACACAGTTAAATGACGCTATATTCATATTCAATATATCCTGTTATGTTTGTTGCTCAATTTCAGATACACTGATGTTATATATATGAACTATGTGAGTCATCTTCCACATATAAACGTGGATAATTAATATCGCTTCAGAAAGAGGCTATCAACGTATAAGGAAAACTCTAATGACCAGAGTGATACAAAGGCTAACAGAATACATTATTTACCAACCATACCAACGAACGCACTTGAGGAGTGTTCGAACGATCCAAATGATGCAGGTTGTATACTTGTTAATTTTAACATTTAGCATTACATACAAGTATTTTTCTGCTTAATGTTCTCACACAGGTCTTTCAGGTTATGCAAATTAGAATAATAATGCTGTCATACTTAAAAATATTGGAAATCAAAACAAAACTTCCTTAACTATGATATTACATCAGTCGTATCGTAATATCATTTCTATAACATGTTTGTGGCAATACCATAAACTTGTGGTTTAATAGATAGTATTCAATACTCCCTGTTCGCGACTTGGGTTGTTCAACTTCCCAGGCATTTTGTTGTGATCGACTGTGGTAATTATGGCATGGAAGGCACTTAACGCAATCCGGCAAAAAATTAATTTGCAATAGATTCGTTATGATTAAATTTTATATGGTCATCTAGCAATCTATTACCTTGAAGTCACTCAGCCCTTTATTATTTGTTATGATTTATAATCATTCATGTTTTTATCTACATCTTTCTGAAAGTGTCAGTTTTGTATATCAGGTATGGGCAATTCACTGCAGATCAGCTTATTACGCCGTTGTTGAATGTGGTTTTACTCTCTCTCACAATGGTTATTTTTAACATTATAAGAACATCTACTAACTATTAAAAAAAACTAACGTGAGTGAAAAAAATATCATATGGCAGTCACTGGCTATGAAACCTATATTTATATTCAATTAGATATTGTGAACGAAAGTGGACGTGTCTACGTTAATATGCACGACATTAATCTCACTACCGACAACGAGGTTGTGTACAGCAACATTGACGCCAGTAAAATGCGTATAAATGATCTGCGATTAATGATCTCCAAGAAGATGATGAATAAAGCTGAAGGATTTCGGGAGGAATTTAAGGTATTTAAGCTGGTAAACATGGACATTTAAGTAGTTAATCGATATGTTTGTGTAACATTTTGTTAACTTTTGTAGTACGCTTATGTTTTTGTGTAACACTTATTTAAATTTGATGTTTATTGGTTCTGTAACACTGTTTACTTAGAAATTTGAGTTGTACATTGACCTATGCTTAGCATGTAAAAACTTTTGAGTTAAAATCAAATCTTGACCTAACATGACTATAATGGTTTGTTCCCAACATATATGTTCTTAATAATCATTTTCCATTAAATCGTTTAGATGTTCCCTGTGGGCGCAGTTCATCCTCACGAGGTTGGCAAAAAGGCGTCAAACAAAGCCAAAAACAGATTCAAGACAACATTCCCATGTAAGAAACTGCTCGGCTGTCTACCAAACCAAAAATCATAATATTAAAATGAAAACTGTCTCATCATTACATATGTAAACATTTTTTGACATTGTCCTCTAGGTACATCTTTAATTTTGTACTATCTTTTTTTCAATCACTAAGAGTTATACTGTTTAGAAACGTTATTGACACCTGGTATGCTTTATCAAAAATATTGCTTGAAGCTCTGTGTCTCATTTTGGGTGTCTGGTTTCTATGAGAGTATTCGACATTCTGTTTTCTCTTTTGTATTTTTGCTACTATCTAAATAGAATTACATCGTGTCTTCCGTGCGTCAACTATCACATCTAGTAATACGACAAAACACGTACGAAACTAATAAATAGTTTAGCCTAGGATCGACCGTTTTCCATAATTCCGAACAAACTATATTGAATTATGTATTTGCTGTGTTTGAATTATTTTTATTTTTGATGAAATCGTTGTTTTTTTTTCACAGATGACCATTCTAGGATTATACTGGAAAAGTCAGGAAATGATATAGATACGACTTACATCAATGCAAATTACATCGATGTAAGTATATTCTGGAGTGAATGGAAATGCAGGCTACATTAAAAGATATCCTTTTTCCAGATGGAAACAAATTAATGGTATCTATATTTCTTCTTAACCTATTTTCACAGTTAGGAAGTTGGTTATGTCCAACATTTTATGATTTATCAAAAGCATTCTGAATTTGCAACTTCTATTCCAGGGTGTTGAAACAACAAAACAATACATAGCCAGTCAAGGTAATTTATATGTTTAACTTTTGCATCTAAGATTAATCTTTTGTTATGCATACATAATTGTATGTGAAGATTCGTTCCGTTGTTGCCTTGACTGCAGTGCCTATTTATTCAGATTTTTCATGTGACGGTTATTATTAGTGTTTGATAATCTTTTTTCATGCCTAACAGCGTTTGGTTTTATCTTAATTATTTTTTTTTATTTTGTCAAACTAACATCACAACTTTGTCAACATATTATTTTCATCAATATACTCCCATAGCATATTGTATAACACAGCATAATCCGTATAAAAAGTAGTATGTATTATGACATCGCAAAAATTATATTGTCTCACATTCTAGAGCTTTTGAAGTATGAATTGTGGGTTCGCGAGCTGTGTATTAATTAATGAGCATTACCCCGTAGAATATTATCTAATCTTAACACCAGTTTTGATTCAAAATGTTATTTATGACACATAGGACCAAAGCCAAATACGTTGGACGATTTCTGGAGGATGGTGTGGCAGGTCAGCTCCGGGAAGATTGTGATGCTGACAAACCTAATTGAGGGAGGCACAGTATGTCTACACTATTTTTCCCTTGTGATATATAATCTATTGTTTTACCAATTAAGTCTGGCGTATAATTACAGTGGTATCATCAATAATTATAGTTAACATATTATATACTTGCATATTTTTTCATCATTACCTTATGTGTGTCTTATTATTTTTACAGGTCAAATGTGGTAAATACTGGCCAGATGAAGGGAAGCCACTATCAACTCAAACATTTCATTTGAGACTTGACAAGGAGACGACATATGCATTTTACGCCATTCGTGACATTTCAGTCATGCAAAAGAAGGTTTTAAAGCAAAAAAAAGTGAACATTACATTTTTTTATCAGACAAAAGAGGAGCGACAAGTGCAACAGTTCCATTTCACGACATGGCCGGATCATGGAACCCCTGACACTCTGGAACTTGTTCTTTTCCATCGTCGAGTAGTGTCACATGAAACGCACCTTACAGGACAGATGGTGGTACATTGCAGGTAATCTAAGACACAGCAAAGTGTTCAGCTATGCTTTTTCTTCCAGTAGCAAAATCATTGACATTGTTTGAGATAATACAATACTCATTAGTATCTATGGATACTAGCAACGTTTAATCGTAATCTTAATCAATCTATCAAACTCAAATGTTTGTATATCTACCGTTGAGAAATAGCATCCAAACATGGATTTTTTATAAATTCGATTGTTTCTTTTTTTTCATTTAATGTTAGATGAATGACAACTGATCAATATATTATTTATATTGCAGTGCTGGTTTAGGTAGAACCGGGACCTTTATTGCATTAGATGCACTTCTCACGAACGGCAGGGAAACGGGATATGTCGATATTCCAAGATACATTAAGACAATGAGGAAGGACAGAATGAACATGATCCAAAACTATGTATGTGTTAGTTCCAAATTTGCCGTTATTATCATTTCAAATAACAAATATACATTGATTGGTACCAATTCTGAAATATGCATTACTTAAAATACTGTAATAATCTTTAATAATGATATTGAAAGTGTTTTTATTCTCGTTAGAATGCTGGATGATTCCGTTGTTGTTGTCTTTTGAATTAGAAAAGTGGCATTGAGCATGATTTTACATAACGTTCGTGTTCGATGAAACAGAAGACACTGATCTTATTATTCATGTAATTGTAGACAATTAATAACTCATCTAAAGGTTTGCTTTAGATAATTCCTTAACGTATCAAACCTTACATTCAAACCAATCTGTACGTAAACCCATATGAAAATAAGGAGTTCATGTCTTTCTCAATTTAGACGTTCTTTACACTTTAGG